GTATAAAATCTGCCTTCTTGAAAATGTATGAAACAGTTCAATGGAAAAAAATAAACCTTCTCCTGACATTTGCTTATTTCAAAATGTAGTGGGATTGCTAATAGCAGTTCAACTACATGACAGCATGGCCTTGAACATGTAATGGCATCAAATGTTAACAGACTGATCTATGAAGTCGATGTTAATGCATTGATTATGTATTATATCTCATTGTTACCTTAAAAAAATTCTAGCATTTTCCCCCTTTTTTTCCCCCCTGTACTTTTTCCCATGTCACTGTGCTATTATAGATTCCTCTCCATATCTGTTCCTCTTTTCTCACACGCTCTTTTGTTCTGCACCCATTCAGCTTTTTTCAGTGTTCTTACATATATATACTATCTTAGTGTCTCTTCTATCCACTGTGAAAAGAGAGGTTTTGTTTTCTGTCTAGACCTAGGCAAATTAATTCTTCATACCTTTACTTTTGTGAGATGAATAACCAGACACACCAGTGTCCCAAACTGCAAATGTAATATTTATATCCAAGTAAAAAGGTTGAGTAATGGAATACTGAAGTTGCACATGCTGCTAGCTCAGTTTTATGAAGAGTTTTGAAGTTTCTTCATCCTTTTATTCAACTGTTATTTAACTACTTTCATAGACACATTACTAGAACACATTAGATTAATTGTTTATATTACATAGAATAATTTGAAAATATTTCTAATTAAACATTATTGTTAAGATTCATTTAAAAAATTATAAACCTTCTTATACATAACATACCTGTCAATATGGAATATTTGAATATTTACTGTGCCCTAAAATTTAACTGTTAAAAATAGCATTAATTCTTGTCTAAATGCTAATAGTTAATGGTTGTATAGGATTCTGGGTTTGCCTTTCCTGACTGTTTATGCTTGCTGTGTGCTCACATGGTCATTCTTCACTTCTAAATTCATTTAAGATGATGTCCGTGATCTCAATAAGATCTTATGGTTTTTAAGGAGAAATTTTAATGCCTCTTTAATGAAAGCCTAAAAAACATTGCTTCTGTTTCATTGCACAGCTCTGAGGAAAGAATTTTTTTGGCAAAACTCTTAGCTCTTCTTTCCAGTCAATGAACATATGTGTGGATGAGGAATTTTCTGAGTTAGAGGCATGGAAATTGCTGACAGCTTGGCAGCAGCTTTGAGTTTTTCAATAAAATAAGTACTTTTGTTCTCTTTCAGGGAGCAGCTTCTAAAACACTGCTCTGAATCTTGCATTTAAGGACCCTAGAAGCTCTAACTTTCCCTGTGTTTGCTGTAATGCAGATAACAAGTGTGGTAATGGAATTACAAGCTCATAGGACGTTTTGTATCATCTTGGTATTGAACTAAGTAGCTTCTCATCAGAATCAAGTTTTATTTTGTAAACTTGGAGATGAAATGGCTTTTGGAATTTACAAAACCTTTGCACATTCAATCACAGAATACTGCCTTGTGCAAATAGAGGGGAAAGCAAAACTAAAATATTAATAGACAAATTTACAAATGACACAGATTTTTAGTTACACTTTATTTTAAGCAGATATTTGAGATCAATGAAGCAGCATTGTCTTTAGCCTGCAGCAGCATAAGTGGTCAATCAGGATGCTTAGAGGACTTCTTTAGTGCTACAAAATATGTTGCCATATTTTATTAATGAATAATTGTGAAGCATTTTAAGAATTTAAATAATTTTATTATTGTTCATTTGAAATGCTAAAGTCATCAGAACAAAATAATTTGCTTCAGTTTACTGGTCAAACTTTTTTATTGTTTTAATCATGATATTAAAAAGTAATATTTTACTTGAAAATGTAGTGCTTTGTAGTTTATTTATTCTGTTCACCTTGGTTGAAGATGACATAGAAAATGAAGCTTGGTTTGGGATTTTTGTAAGCCACATGCAAAAAATCACGTTCAAGTCACAAAGAAAAACTTACTCATATAAAAGAGTTTTCTAGCAAAACATTTCAAAGTCGATATCTATCATCAAAATACTTCTCCAAGTTACTTTGCAGCTCTAAAGGGAGGAATTCATCTGTCCAAAGTTAAATCTGATATCCTAACTCTATACTCAGTAGGGGACAGATATGATGAAATGATTGTCACCACACTTGGGCATCTGCTTTGGCTCCCCTGGATTGAATGTACTTATTTTTCTTTATTGATTACAGGTGAACACTTGCCTCAGCCAATGGCTCAGTTTTAGATGGATTAGATGTGGTTAGATGAGTCCTATCGTTTCTCCTCTAAACTTCTGGGTAAAAAAGAGCAGCTGATCAGAGCTGAGGTCTGATCCTAAGCCAAAATTCTAGTGTATGAAATGTGTGATGCTTCTGACAAGTCTGAAGAAGCTGTTTCACTATGTCGTTTGTGTGAAGTTTGCAGTCACAGACCATGGGATAATTGATGTTTTACTAATGAAATCTATAACTAGTATGTAATTCTGATTTGTGTTCTTGAAGATTGTTAATTATTTATGTTTTCTGTGAAGAATGTATAAGTCTTTACACTTAAGGTACATTGAATTAATACTTCTTTATGGTAGGACTGCAAAATGTGTTGAATTCGACTAGATAAAATACAATGCAATGGCTTCATTACATGTAACATCACTCCAGTGGATCTAGTTTGCCATATGTTTTTAAAGTTCAATTCAGTACTGTAACAGTTGAGACCTGAAATATTTAATATCTACTCAAAATGGAGATAGAAAAGAACATAGGAAAAAATACCAGACAAAACCTTCTGATAAATTAATCTTGTGGTGGAAAACTATGGTTGTTTGAAATTATTCTGTTCCTTTTGCTTACTTTTGCACAGTTTTGTCTCTTTAGTAATTTGCTGTGCTAGCAAAATATTTCTGGAGCATGCATTTCTTTCTCCTAAAAAGTAATGCTGAACTCCATGTAAGAGGCTCCTACTTTTCTGTCAGAGAGCACTGATAGACTCACAAAAAACCCACATCAGGTGTTTTCAGTACTGATTTGGCTCTGCCTTTGCTTGTGTGAGAACTGGGAAGAGTACTGTCTCTTCTATGGGTATTTGTGTGTGTGTTTGCTAAGAAAGGCAACAGCAAATATAAATATTCTGCAGGACAGTTTTCTGTTAGGCTTTTTGCAAGCATAGATCCTGCTTGGAATATATTCAGATGCCACTATTTAAACTTCACAGTTACTACTGACATATGGCATGAACTACAAATTTGAAAAATTTCTGCTTTTCACTTAGCATGCTACTTCACTTGAAACATAATTGTAACGTGTGATCTTCTATATTCCATCCATGGCTAATGGACATCCATGGTACTATCAAACCAATTTATTAAAAGGTTGCTTTTTTCAACATCTTCTTAGGTAACAGAAGTATTTTCTATTTGATTTGAGCACGTATAACAAAAATACTTGAATGTATTGAGTAGAGTGTAGAAGTCAAGCTTCTGTTCTTGGCTAGTTGCTCAACGCAAGCTGGAGCTGGAAATGAGGTTGAGTTAGCAGGAATATACAGCTACTAGTGGAGTCACAGTTGAGTGTTTCATGTTTATTTGTGTAAACTCAGCTTAGATGACACATCAGCCTGTGGCCTGTATTGGTTTGTCCTGAATATATTACCTGCAGCGTTACCTGCAGCTGCAACTTCCTGGTAGAGAAAAGATTTTCTGAGTACAATTTGTGTCCTTAAGGGAAACAATTTTGTGGACTGAAACCCATTTCTGGGAACTTCATTATGAGGGTTCCTTCCTCGAAGGTGTATGTTGAGAGCCAAAAAGGCTCTTCTGGTCCCTTTGAAGAGGACAGAAGCACAGGGGTGAAACAGGATAGGTCTGAAACCCATTTCTGGGAACTTCATATGAGGGTTCCTTCCTCGAAGGTCTATGTTGAGAGCCAAGAAGGCTCTTCTGGTCCCTTTGAAGAGGGCAGAAGCACAGGGGTGAAACAGGATAGGTCTATATTATATACCTCTTTCTTAGATGACACATTTACAAGCATTAGCCTAAATAAATAAAGGGAAAACCTAATTTTAGGCAGTCAATTTTATCATGCCATCCAAAACATTGGACTAGTTCACTCTTTCTGCTGTTACAAAGTTCATAGTTGTCACAAATGTGAATGAGAAAGAAGGCAGCTGGATTGTGCCCCAAATTCAGCAGTATCAGTTTTCCAGATCTCTTACATATCAGGTACATCCTTCTCTACATCCCTTCTTTTCTGTAGATATGAAATAAGGAAGGAAAAACAGCTCTGTAGGTATTTCATCCTCTCTGTCCCTGATGTTTCTAAAGAGACAGTTACTCAAATCTGACTGACCCTAGCAAACTATGCTGATTGTGCTGAAAGATATGAAAATGTATAGATAAAAAAAATTATGCAGACTTCTGCTATGGAATATATTTAATTAAATAAGTGTAAAAACTAGACCACATGTAGAGGGCACTATAAAAAACAAATCTATATATTCTGTACATTTTTATCTGGACTTATGATATACCTGCTACTAAGATTTTTTTTTTTTTATTGCTAACTAATTCTAAATGATCCTGGGGCAAAAAGTAAACAAGATGGACTAGAGAAAAAAAAAAATCTTTTTTTTTTAAATGTTCATGTCTAAGGCATATACTATCCTACAGTCTTTACAGAATATATTTTAGGATGAGCAATAAAAGGAAAAACATGGGCTGCTTTAAATAATCCTGTCTGTAACAATAGCCCTTAAATCATTGGCTATGATTTTTAAACCATTACTCTGAGATCAACAGTTATGAATTGAGCAAATGAATTTTTGTCTAAGGACCTTTGCTTTTCTTCCAGACTTTCTTTTCTCTGTGCAACAGAAGTTTCATGGGATTTTTGCATTCAGGAACTCCCAAGTTTATTAAAACAAGAAAAATAGTGTAGGATGGAAGCACAGAAACAACTTGCTGAGGTGTGAATATCAAAGTTGTGGCAGAAAACATTAAATCTTACAGAACTTGTTTTATTTCTTTTCCAGGAGAGAACAGTAACAATTAGAAGACAGACTGTGGGAGGATTTGGATTAAGTATAAAGGTAGGATGATTTTTTTGGTCTCTTGTTCCACATTATACAAAAAGTCTTTTTATATGTAATTAATGTTACATTTAATAAGGGCAAACTATATTTTGAAGGACTAAAACCAAGAAAGCAAACATATTCTAGTGTGTTAGATACTGTCACAGTAGGTGACCATCAACCACACTGCCCTGTGGAATTGAAGGCAATGGAAAGATCATTCTCTGAAGATCCAAGCTGAGCAACTCTGCAATAAGGTTTGATAGGAAGGTTGAAAAGTGTTTGTAACTGCACAGACTGTATTGCTGTCCAACAGCACTCTAATTTAAGTAATTATTAATGAATGCTAAGTTGCTGTGGCAGGCACATGGAACAGCCAATAAACTCATCAACAATCCTTCTACAAAGAATATCACAATAATTCAGTGCAATTCATTAGTAGGACAGGAAGTGTTATATTGTGTTCTTGTGTTGTTTATTTTATTATAGATCAAGAAAAACACGTGTAAGTGCAGATGACCCTTTTTGAGAGAGGGGCAGCATGAGGAGAGGGAGGAAGGGTTAATAATTTTTGTCATCATAATCTATGATTTTTAAAACCTTACCTTTTTAGACAACATATTCTAAACATAGCAATCCTCATTCTCAAGATAGCAATGGAAAAAGTGTATTTCACATGAATGCAGAATGGCTTAAATTATGCATATGAAGTGGAAGTATAGACTTTACTGTGAACATCTGCTTGTGCTGACCTCCTAAGAAGTGTCTCAGAAGAGGGATTAATGTGCATTTGTGTTGTCATTGATAAGAATATTGCTGAATAGAAATACTAGATCTTAAAATATGTATTGGTACTTTTGCTGTTAACCTGTTGACCTGCTAACGACCTCTATTCATAGAAAACTAATTGCTATTTTGTAGCCAAAGTTTCTCATGAGTTTAGTCAACAGCACCTAAGTTATTTTCCTCCAGTATCATTATAGGTTACAGTTCACTGAACAACGATGAAGTAATGTATCAGTGTAAAATCAGGTATATGGGTGAATGAATTTTTATTTAGCTGGTGCTAAGAAATAACTGGTTACAGTAAGGATTTTTGTGGTTTGGAGAGCAAATGTCATCAAGAGTCACTAAAATTGGTTTTTAGTTATACATTGCAATGGCTTATCTTTTAGAATTCAAATTGATGTCAAGCTCAAGGTTACATTATTTCAGTATCAGATCCATTGTATTAAATAAAATATCATTGTGAAATAGAAATGAAATGTGTGATGGCCTTTCTTAAATTAGTGGGACAAAATATACTTAAATTTTTAGAGCAAGATACCCATTGTTCTGAAGAAAATTCTTGGAAGTCACTATTTCAAGTTGCCAAACCAGACTCTGAATTCAGCCTGGAAGGGATTCTTTTTTTTTTTTTTTTTTTTTAATAAGAACCTGTTTCAATAGAAAAAAATACCAAGAAAAACTGTATCAAGTGTACTAGAAGCAATTGCAATAGTATCTAAAAATAAAGGATTTATATTAAATTATTTTATTTAAACGTATTTTCTAGGTTTATTTTATTGCTTCTTGTGATCAAAGTTATTCTAAGTAGTGGAAAGGTGAAGCTACATAAGTTCAGGCATGACTAGATGATTTCTTGTTAATTTTTGGAATAACTAACAGTTATGTGATGGAATCCCTTCAACACATGTTGTTAAATAGAAAAGAGATCTCTTTCAACAAAGGAAACTTAATCTTAGTTGGATAGTGTAGATTAGGTAATGAAAATGGTGAGTAGAATTCTGTGGTCTGGGATATTCTGTTGATGTGTGTCAAGCAATGTGGGTTGACTTTTAAAAAAAATATTTATTTTTAAAAATCAATGAATGTTGATTGCAACATCTTTTGCTAGATCCCTTTATTAGCAATCCTATATTCTCAAGAGGAAAGGTTGATAAGCAACTGGATGGCCAACACAATCTAAACCAAATAAATAATATAATCTGCTTCTATCATTTTAATCTAGCAGTAAGAAACAACTTGGACCTGGAACATAGAGTAGTTTTTTTCCTGGTTTCATAGGCAAACTTTATGAAAACTCACTGAAATGAACTTTTTAGGCGTGCCATAAAGTGTCAATGTCAGTTCCAAATATTCTGGAAAGTGCCAGATTTCTGTTTGAAATGGTAGTGTTAAATCCAGGTATGCATCTCCTTGTGGATGAATGACAGTTTGTTATTTTGGTTTGGAAGATTGCTGAACTTTAATAAATTACTTATATTTGTTATTAGTTTTAAAGAGAAAAGCAATTATTTTGTAGCAGTGCCATGAAGTAGAGGTCTACAAGTTACCCTGTAGGAGTGAGGAGGATGGAGGGCATCCCTCCTTGTTTCACTGCCTCCCACAACCCTACATGCTACAGTAGTTCCTACTGTCCTGCTACTCTCAGATTATTTAAAGGTAGGGGTTATTTAAGGACTTACTTTCCGGTAGTGATGTACATCAGAAGACGTAGCTTATCTGAGGTGTGAGTTATAGCAGTATAGTGGATAATGACTATCACTTTAAAATATTTGCTTGCACTTTGATATGAATTTGTCTAGTTTTGACATGCAGTTTTATGCCATTATCATGCCTTTTTTTTCTGCCAGCTCAAACTCTCATTTACTATCAGAAATCCCAGATGATCAAACCACCTTTTACCTTTCTCTTGAGTAAATTTTGGAAGGGTCTTATGTATACTGGAACCTTGGATTTATTTTTTTTTTCTATTCCTAAAAAGCAGGAGGTGAAAATGTTAATAATTCCAAAATTAAACCATGTAGTTATCTTTTGGTGGCTTGTCTCTGAGGTGAACTCTCTTCTTTTATGTTATAACCTAGGTTCTCCAACTATATTTGTAAAAATCAGACATTCGATTAACTACTTAAAAAAAAACCCTGTGAGATTGTTGTTTGGGGGTTTTTTTTGTTTGCCCCTGTGAGAGTGTTGTTTGTTTTTTTGTTTGTTTGATTGTTTGTTTTTGTTTTGTTTTGTTTTCCACAAGATCCCCACTAAAGAGCTTAAAAAAAAATTGCTTAGAATGCACTGTTTGAAGGTCTGAAAGAAAAAAAAGTTTGTGTTTTGCTGTATTTCATTTTACTGAAGTGAATGGTAAAAGTGTGATTGAATTTGAAGCAGAACTAATCTGTTTTACATTGTTCAGAAGGAACTATTTTCTTAAGTTCTTTAGAATCCTCAGTAATAAATCTCTGTGTGTGCAGGAATAGCCATGGAGTTAGATGTAGCAATTGATAAGTGTAGTGTAATATCAGTCATTTGTCACATCTATGACAAGTCTGAGGTGCAGAGATTTGACACAAGAAGCTGCTAAGTGTATGACTTCTGAAAGAACATCAAGTTTCTCAATAATTGGAGTGTTGTGTTCTTGCAGAATAAAATTGATAGTTCATTAAATAAAGTAAGGTTTGCAGTTCCAGTGTGATTCCTGGCTACCAGGATTCTGTACAGTGCCATTTTCCTGCCTCTGTTTTATCATTTTTTAAAATTATGAACAGTGTTGCAGATCAGCTGAGATTTGGTTTGACTTTTCAAAATTGTCCTTGATCAAAACATTCTCTAAAGCAGGCATGAGCACCTACCCTGCTTACACTTATGTACCTGCATAGATGATTCTCTTCCTCTTCATTCATTCTGTGATATTTCTTATACTCATTTATATTTCTTATATTCATTTTCTGTTTCAGATTGAAAAATAACCAAATAAAATAAAAAGGCTAGAAAGCATTAATTGATTAATCTTCTAGCTTTTCATTTAAAACTTAATCTTTTCATCTTTAAAGTCTTTTGTACCTTGGAAGTTGGTGTTGAATGCATTTTGGAAGTGGCACTTTGGTTCCAGCTATGCTATTCTGTTGGAAAGAAAAGTTTAAATGTTCCAATTAATATTGGCACATTCTTTTCCATATTGTTTAATTGCTAGCATGATTCTTTGCACAGTTTTGGTTTACACCACCTAGTGTTCTCAAAGACAGTCTCTGAACACAGTTCAGCACTTTACAGGGACTGCTTGCAATAAGAAACCTGTATAAAGTCACCCATTGTCAGTTGGGAAGATAGTTTATCCTCATAGACGTGAGCCATATTGTGCCACTAGACCTTAAAGCTAAAACAAACAGGCCCATTTTCACTTCATAGAGTGGAATTAATTTTGCATTTCAATATGAAATAAAAATGTCTAATATTGAGGATGCTAAAGTGCAACAATTGGTCTATTTTTCAATAGAATCTCTCTGCTTAGAAAAACAAAATAGTAATTTTGTTATTATGCTGCCAAACTCAAAACCAGCATTTGTCAGTAAATGTTAATAGCTTGAGTTGCCCAATTTTTGATATGACTGAAACTTCAGAAAAAAAAAAAAACCTCTTACACAAAAATTGGAACAAGAAAAAAAATCTTTAGAACCGTATCATGCAACGCTTTGAAAGGAGGTTTGGGTGACCTCCCACCAGTAATGGCCAACCTCCAGGCCAGTGGGCTTTAAAAGGCTGCCAGTGATCAGTGCTTCCTCTGCCTCTTCCAGCAGGACCACCTCTGCAGGTGGGCAGCTGCCTTTATTCTAGGGTCAACCCTGTCAGGTTAAGGAAAAATGACAAAATTTGCATGACAAAGGTTAGCGTTAGACTCACTCTGCTAGAGATCTGAGCCGTTGGCTTCAGCACCATAAATTTACATTTTTGTTGCCTCATCTGGTCTGAGGTTATAACTACATGTCCACACTACAGGGAGGGAAAATTTAAAACAATGGAAAATTGGCCTCTGTTCCCAGAGGTTTCTTCAGCAGAGTATCCCCTGAGCCTATAAAACATGAATTTAGACATTTAGACTTTTTCTTCTGCAGGACAGAGTGTCAAGTCTGGAGGATGCAGGATGCAAGGCTGCAGTGTCAATCTGAAGTAGCATTCAAGAGGATGCTGCAGAATATATAGAGCTTTTTTGCCTTGCTGCAAATTGTGAACGATGGCTGGCTGTAGATAAGAAGTAAACTATTTTTGCTTTCCCATTAGGAATGTTTTTTTTTTTTTTTCCTTAGAATGGCAAAGAACACCTTCTATGACTAATTTAAAAGGAATCCTTTGTACTGGCCAGACTGGGATGCAGTGAGGGGAGATAATTTTCTTTAGTAGGCCATTACTGAATGCTTCTTCAGATCTGCAGTGTAATAGAGTGAGTGAGAGAGGAATAATTATGTTGGGTGCATTGCAGGCTGGCTTAGTAATAACAGTAATTTCCATCTTTACTGGAGAGCTGTCTAAGGAGGGAGGGAGGTCATTTTAGTGAGAAGAAAGACCTATGTTAGCTATGCTAACCTTTAAACCCTACACTCCTTCACTGAGCTTCAAAACTCCTGGATAGTGCAATGTCTGTATAACACTGGAGGCTGAGGAAGGGAACTGACACCATTATTTTTCTGTTTGAAAAATTTGAAAGAAATTAAATGGACATGTAGCTAAGGAAAAATGTAGAGGGTGTAGGTTAAGTCTTAGAAATTTAGTGAGCTCGAGCTGATTATCCTAAGTGAAGCAAACTTTTACTGTTGCTTTTCCTCTAGTGAAAACCATTGAAAGGTATTCAAGAGGTTATAATACTGAAATTTATTTAGTCTGAATACATCTTTAAGGCTGACTGAAATGAAGGTAACCTCATGGTCTTTGTGGAGTGAATGCTCAGTCTACAGTACAAATACCAATACATGCTGTGCTTGTCAACACTCATCCACTGCAGTGCCAATAGAACTTTTAGTGTGGACATATAACTCTTGTAATGTTACTGAGATCCCTATTAACTTGCAGGTTTTAGGACCATGTGCATTGGTAGCCAGTAGCAGAAGGAACTTTAATCCTATTTAAAATTCTACAGTGGCATGGGAAATTTGTCTTTATTCCATGACAGAAATAGCTGTTGTGTGCAGGAGTCTGTTCAGTTTCAAACCATCGGTAATTACATGACGAAGGGATATGTATTGTTCCTTAGGTCATCAAAATACCCATGTCAGTCCTTTCACACCTCAGCACTGGATGTCTGGACCTATCAAAGCCTTTATTTTTGCAAAGGAAACTTTGGCTGCTAGAAAGAAGAGTAAACAAACCCTTAACCAGGACTCCTAGGCTACACAACGGCGTGCCAGACTGTCATTTCTGATGAGCTGAATTTGTATAGGTTACATTCAGGCTTACAATTCAATGCTCTCTACACAGGAAAAAATACTTGTTTCTGTATATATTTGTCTTTCTCTTCCTTTGAGTTTCCTTTTTATTCAACATTTTTTTTTTTAAGTTTCTTCTTAAGCACTATGAGCATTTCCAGTCCCAGCAGGATAAACCGAATGGAGCTACAACATTGAATTGTTGTCAAACTGTTGAATTACCATCCAGCTTTCCTTTATTTCCCCCCATTTATTGAACACCTACTGTTCCATTTCTTAATGTTTCTTTTCCTGATCCTTTTTTACTTATCCTACTGCTTGGCTCACTCTTTGTGCTTGTGTGACAGAGATGGAAACAAATAACACCTGCTTTTGAGATCAAAAATCCAAACTTGCTTTTCCTGGGTTTTTATTTACCTGTTTCTTGCCAGCAGGAAACCTAAGTGGTCGCAGCGTGGCTGCCATTGTAGTGTGATGGCCATTTTGCTTTTGCAGGACACTATTTCATACCTTAAGCTTTCCAGAATTCACAGAAGCCAATGTCCTTTTTTTTCCAATCTTGCAGAGTTTTGAACAACATTCAGTTCACTTCCTGAGCTGATGATGGAAACTGAGAAGTACTTTATAAGAAGTGACAAGAAATTAACCTAAATCAAATACTTATTTTCAAAACATGAAAAAAGAAATGCATTCAGAATTATTTTCCTAGTCTCTCTTAAAACTGCAGTTAGGGAAAGGGTAAAATATAATGTTAAGAAAAAAGTTATTTCCAGTGACTGATGAAATTGCCATTTATTCTGTTTTCAGGGTGGAGCAGAACATAATATTCCAGTGGTCATTTCTAAGATTTCCAAAGAACAAAGAGGTGGGTGTCAGATTAGTAGACTTTGTTTTGACATGCTCCTTAAAGCAAGGTGCATTAAGTCTTGAGATGCTTCAGGAAGTGTTAAACAAATGTTATTGGTGTATCATTTCTCTCTATTACTCAGTACTGTTCTCTGAAAAAGTACAGAATTTATATTAGGAATATTTTCTAAACAGTTTTCAGCATGATTTGTTTTAAAAAAAAACATTCTCGTAAGGCATTATTTCCAAGGGGAGAAATATGAAGGCATTTAGAAAATGAAGATGTTTAACAGATTTCACATAAGTTAATGGTTTTGTGGCTTTTATTTCCAAATGGTTATTGCCAGGAAGCTGCAGCAAATCAAGTGTTTGGCCATTAAATCATGGTAACACAAGAAGGGAATGCATGTCTTTTTGTACTGATGATTAGGGCAGTACCCAGAGGTGAGTAATGGCAGAGTCTTGATAATACCCATAAATTATTTCAGCATTAGATGCTGTCCTGTGTAAGCCTTTGCAGCAACTCATGCATAGCAAAACTAGTACTGTACAAGTTCTTTACCATGCTTGGTTTTAATAGAAGCAGAGCTGGGGCTGAATCTCTGTATTGTTTTCAGCTGGCAATGTTTTGAAATTATTGGAATGATATATGCTAGGAATAAGAATAATGATTAAGCAGCTCATGGTGAGCACAGTGATGAGAGATGAAGGTTGTGAATCAGTACCAGCATGGTGTATTTAATTTCTCTGTTATGTTTGTGTATATTTGAGTACTCTTGTGTAAGGTCAGAAACATAAACTTGGAAGCATTTCCCTCCATCTGTAATGCAATAATTCTGGGATGCTGCCTCTGTGCAATTAAAATGTGCCAATATAAAAAAAATCTCATATTCACCCACACAGATAAAGAGACGTAGTGGAGAATCAGCATACTGAGAGCTGAAAGCCAGCCCTGAAAGGTAGATGTGAAAATTGTGTGTAGAGAGGCTACAGAGTAGCATGGAATATGAGCCCCTAAGGAAAGCAATAAGGTTAACTTTAAGTGATACTTGTGACTGTTCTTTTCAGTATGCATTTAGGTATGTGATACATAATAATGTGGCATATATTGCCTACACGAGCTATTAAAATGCTGTTAAGCACTGCAGGAAAAATAAGACAGATAGACTTCAGTTTAATTGAGCACACAAAAATGCACACTGTTTCCTTTTGGTTTTGTCATTATTTTTTTGCTGAATAGCTGATGCGTTATTTCTAACCTCAGTTAAACCTGGCTGAGATACAATCTCCATTACTGCTTTCAATAAAAATACTGCTGATTTTTAGAGAGCTAATTTTGAGGGACATCTCTCGTGTAGCAGACTACTGTCTTGTGGTGTCGAAAGTGAAATGCTATGTGTTTGTACTAGGGTTCTTTGATACAGAAACTGCTGTTCGACCCAGATCCTGTAACACACAACTCTGCAGGCTTGGTTCTACCCTCCTCCAAGTTGTCTCCAGCTCTTTCTTTGGACAGCTAAGCAAGAATGTGACATTGATGCAATTCTTAAGACCAGTGATGCACATAAGGTGCTTAGGCTAGCACATCCGGTCACATATGAAACATTGGTACATGCAAGCCTTGTGTCTGAAGAACATTGGGATGTGCATTTATTTAATATAAAAGAAAAAAGAAAATCAGGATGTCTTTCCTGCAGTAATTTAAGCATCCTTTATTACGTCTAGCTAATGATACTAGTCTTTCAAACTTGTGCATCATAATTTGTGTCAATATTGATTCCAAATTTACAACTCTTGTAAATAAGTTTCTGGATGGAGTCCAGTTCTATTCTTTTCTAGTCTAGAAAAAAAAAAAAAATTAAAAAAACAAACTTATTTTCTAGAAGACAGTGTCTTTTGTAATGTTTTGGAATACTATAGATAAATAATCCCATATAACCTGTTAACATTCCTTAGTTCTCATGTTAGGGATTATTTATTTCTTTACAGACACTTAAATATTCTTTGTTGAATTTATTGTGTATTTATAAAACATATTTACACTAGATAGCTCTGTAGCACAACACTATTTAAATTGCATCTGTAGAATTAGATTTCATAGACTCGCTTGTGATTTACTTTGTTTTAAAAATCAAATTCTGTTTGGCTAGTGATTTTGTACAATATGCAGACTGCCTAGCTCATCATCATATAAAGTCTTATCTGTCATAAGTACTCCACAAAGTTCATCAAACATTCAGGATCTAAAGTAACTCTGGTAAAAGCTTACAAGTGAAATTTGTCATTCACAAGTAGCTCTCGAGTCTCCATGTTGCTTTTTCCTCAAAGTTTGTAAGAAATGATCCCTCACAGGCAAATAGAACCTAGACCTGCACTCATTTTCTATTCGGAAAAGTATGGCATACCTCCCCACAACGGCCTTGAAGGTGCTAGTGAGTGATGGAAGTCGTTTCATAGGCTTGTATTTGGGCTGAGTAGACTCTTTCATTGTAACATTGTTATGTCAGTATTTCAACATGTTAAAAAAAAGATGATTGTATAGAAACATTAAACTACATAGAAATACATGTACAGAAAATGCAAGATGTTTTGTGCAAAATGAGTGAAAAATATGCTTTGTGTTTTCAGCGGAACTTTCAGGTTTGCTCTTTATAGGAGATGCAATTCTACAGGTGAGTAAAATTGTGAGTTCGTTTATTTATGTTTTTCTAGAAAAGTGAAATGAAATATATACTTATGAAATGTAGAGTAAGTCTTCTCTTTATCTTTTTAATAACAGATTAATGGAATTAATGTGAGAAAATGCAGGCATGAAGAAGTGGTGAGCTTTTCTGCTTTTCAGTCTACTTTTTGTCTTTTGTAGTTACTGAGATGATAGTGTACACTGATAGCAATGTGCTGGTCTCAATTTTATTATTGTTATTCCTAACCAAATATGATTGTACTGTCTAGTATCATGAGCAACTAAGATCTTAGTGCAATCTCTTCTTCATAAATTTGTTGTAATTGCTGTTCTCAGATAGGCTTTTCTATATTAAAGATAATTATTTTATTATGCAGATTTTTAGCCATGCATCTTTCCAGCCTTTCTTCTTCTGGTTTTTAACTGTCAGATTTCAGCAGTGCTGCACCTTTCTGGCTGTGTGAGGTCATTTTAATTTCAAAGGCTGTAATTTACACTGTGTTGGAGATGTGGTGTTTGTTTGGTTCTAATCCTATTTAAAAATTGAAACAAGACTATGTGTCTGCCTTTCATTCTCTGGCTGTTACTTATTAGACTGCTTTCCTGCTTCACTTAAGCTGTTACTAATATGGGTTTCAAAAAAACAGTGTGTTAAGGAGATTCCTTCTAGAGAACCCATGTGTGTTAGAGAGCTCAGTAGTAGGCTGGTTCCCTTGGAAAGTCAGCTTTGCTGAAAGTATCATGTACTTTTGTTATATTTGACTTTTGGACTCTTCTAAAGTACTTTCAGAAGTACCAAACACTGTATTTCAGAAAAGAATGCCAGAAATTAGAAGATTACCAAAAATATTATCATCAAATCCTGTGTAGCTCCATAGAATTTGCACCTATATTTTTAAAATAATGTAATAATTCTGGTTTTGAAATTTTACTTTTCTAAAACTTACCTTGCCCATTCTAAGCCTCTCTGTATTTCACACAGCATTCTGTTGTATGACAGATCATAGCACAGATGCCACTCAGGTTTAGGCAGCAAGAGTAAATAAAGATGAAGTTCTGATGAGCCAGATAGTGCAGACAAAGATCAGATCCCTGCACTATTCCTCAGAGTGCTTTTGTGCACTGGTTTCATTGGAAATTTCTGCTGCTAATCATCCTTCATTCTTCAGAGCCTTTGTCATATAGAACCTTCTATATAGACAGGCTAATCGTCATATTTATAGCACTTTCAAGCTTTGACTGTGCAACAGTGATCAGATTTTAATCTTTTATAAGCCTACCATAGTTGCTTGATTTAATATGACTTCATATTGTAAATAGGCTGTTAGAATTTCAAGACATCAGAAAAAGATACAACTAAAAGTGTGGACTTGCACAGTCAAAGGCATATTCAAAAACTGGTAAGAACGTAAAGGATATTTTTTATTTTTTTATTTTTTTTTTCATGAGATAATCTTTTAACCATTACAATTATACATAAATCTGTGGGCTATTTATGATCAAGTTTAAACATTTTCACGTAAAAAAAAAGAGATTTTGAAAAAAGCCAAAAGGTGCAAACTGACATAAAGTAACAGGTCTCATCATGTTAAATTTTGGGTTATACCTTGCTTGTCCAACATAATCTGCTTCTCAAATTACTTATAGATAATTCTCTCTGGATAAAATAAGTGTACCTTACCAGTTTTGAATGTCCATTTGTATGTGTGCAAATGTTTTAGAAGTTTAAAAAGCAGACAAATTTTAAATTAAATATTTATCCTAACTAAGAATAATTCTTAAGAACTAATAGTAAATATTGAGCAATATTTAAATAAGATAACATTTACATAGGACATTTTATAAGCTAAAATATGCAGAGGAGTCATAAATATAAAATATAAAAGAAATATAAAGTAAATCTATTTTTAATAATCAAATTTTTTTTAGAAGCATTCACTATAATATGATATGTATTTGTGGAATAATTTTTTTGTGAAACCTGCTATAGTAATGACAGATATGGTTATGCATTGTACAGTAAACTGTGAGTTTAGGCATAGCCCTGAGTAAAGGGCAAGCACATCAACTGGTCTGCCAGCAGGACTTGCAGGTGGGATTTTGTCAGCAGTATGCCCTTTGCAGTTTGAGTTGTTCTAGCACTTCCCTCTTGCAGGGTCTTTACTAAATACAGGACCTGTAGCTCTAATCTCAAGGTAATAGAGAAAACAGGAATCGTGTGGAGCAGAGATGTGCACAGCAGGGGGTCAAACAATAGTGGAAACTTTATTTTCAATCCTTATTGCTTCTAGGTACTTTTCAAGTGGCTATGCAAGGTACATGAGCTCAGAGCTCGGTCTCATTCTGATTTTTTCTGTAGCTAATAAAGACATGGCAGATATATGGGAGTATATTAGTGGTTTGGGTTGTCTCAATGTCTTAGAAAATATTCATTGCAAACCAGCGTGGATTTTTTTTTCAGTGTGTAAAGCTGAAGATGCCCATAGAAAATTTGGACTTGTATCTGCAGTGTGCATCTTTTTCTTTTTCTAGACCCAAAACGTCTTGCTGTTTGCAGAAACATTTTAAGCACATGTCATATCTTCATGGTTCTGCAGTGAAAAGACCTGTGGTGTAATCACTGCAGCCTGTTGTATTACACTGATGATTAGTTGGCCCTGGTGTTTCACCCTGCTTTACTGATAACTGTACTAGGCGTATAAAATCATTTGAATTTTGATATTAAGTAGTTTAATCAAATTAGTGCCATCTTTCATAGAAAGGAGTATCTTTCCCCAATATATAGTGAACTTAGTTGGCTTAACCCTTGTGTACACTCTTCTTTCGTTTCTGTTGTATTCCATTAGTTGTTAGATGTGGTGATACAGTATTCAGTGATGCACAGATCCTGTACCCAAGAAATAAGCTATAATCTGAAGCCTGAATCTGCCAAGTAGATAGATACTTAGGTATTTACATAGGTAGGCAGATAGAGAAGAAGACAACTCAAGACAAGACAGGTAAGTTTAGTCAATTCTTAGTGTACCTTACTGGAGGCCTCTACTCAGTTCCTTTCTTTTTTTTTTTTTTTTTTCCTAGCTTTAGGTGAATCACTTAATTTTGACCTTACTTTTCTGCTTATAGAAGGTGAGAATATTACTCATAGCACGAAAGCACTTGAGTTTCAACCAAAGGCTAAGTGTCAGCTCGTTGTTTGTCTTGGGTTGCAAAAAGCCTGAGTACAGCATAACATTGCTTCAGTCTTAGTGCTCTCCTGTAGTAAAATAAATATCATGCTCTCTGTGGTGAAGTAACAGTATGGGAGAAAGTTGAGGGGGGGAAAAAAAACAGCAATTCTGTTAAAAAGTATCTCAACATCATACTGGCAATTTGACTCCAGAAGTGTAGTATGAACTTGAATGTAGAGGTAAGGAGGGTCTGTTATATCTGCCAATTTGCATGATTTTGTGTTCGTTCTAGTATGGATTTAATTATTAATTATTCATTTTCTAGTATACCTTCCTTTACATTTTACAAGATTTTTTTTAAAGGCTGAAATTAGGATTATGCTTAGATAGATTTATGAGTTTAGGCTTTTGTCTGGTCCAACAGTACATGCCTCATCAATCCACACACCTAGTCTTTTAAGGGCTCATGATGGATATGATGGATTATTGATAAGGCTGGAAACCAATCTGTTTGTAGTCTGGAAAGGAATGTGTCTGTAGCTGTTACCTCCAGTTATTGTCCATACATAAACCAAAAACAGATGGGCAGTCACCAACATACTGCTGTTCTTATAGCACTTGTGGGCATTTTTGGTGGTTCTGCAGCTTGCTACTACACCACTAAGAATGGACAAAATTTTGGGAGAGGTGAGAGTCCTTGTTGTGAGCTGCTTCCCTTCAGCTACTATTGAGTGGCTCAGAATAGGACAGTACGTGTCGACTCAGCTGCATACTACTAAATATGTTGTGTTGGATCTACTGCTTGTATTGTTTCCAGGATTGTAGTGCACTAAAGCATCTGGGGACCATGGAGAGTTGAATGAGTGCCAAATTATTTTTAAGACTAAGCATGTCTCTGTTCTTAATGTTGCAAATAAAGCATCTCAGGTAGTACCAACAGCTATGGTTACATATCACTGGGATTTCTTTAGCTCTTAGTATCCCTTTGTCTCTTAAGAAATAAAAGTAGAATTAAATAAATATGGGTATGAAAACTTTTTTTATTTCTTACATTTGGGAAAAAAAAATCAGGGTATGTTTCTAATGAAAAATGTTAGTTCATATGTGCCTGTTACTACGACTCGGGTGCATTCCTTGAAAAGTAACAAGACAAGCTCATGTAGAAGTAGGTAGAGATCAGGACAGCACAGTTATTTAGACTTTGGTGGATTTTCTGTAGAGACAGCTATAATATGTAGTTCTGTGTTTCAATTCAGCCATCAGCTGTGTTTTGCACAAGACATCTTTTTTCAGCAGAATGACCTGACATGGGATGTCCATGTGCACTGCCTTGTGTATTTTGCTGATTCTTTTTCTCTGTACCCATAGCAGGGCTGTATCTGTGCTAGCTCTCTGTGAGTCATGCATGTTGTATGAAGCAGTTAGGGATTGTAATTGCTTAACTGCAATTGTGTGCAGCTGATGAAACTCTTACTCTGATTCTTTAAAACTGTGGTTTCATTCAAACTGATTTTTAAAACCTGTTATGAATAGTTTGGGTAATGTTTTTTGTAAATGTTTTTAAGCAGAAGAATGAGCATATTGTATTTGTAAGACAGGACTGGAAACCAAATGATCTGAAATCTCACTCCAGCTTGACTTTGCAGATAACGTTTACAGAATTATGGTTTTATGTTATCTTTGATTCCTTAACTGTGAAATGGAGGCCTAGAATATTATCAGATTTAGCACACTGAATTTCATGAAGTACTTCAGAATCTGTTACAGAAAAGAATCTGTACATCAATATTGTGTTGCTTGGTGATAGTGATAACAGCAACCTGCAAATACAGATTACCACCTTCTCATATTATGTGACAGAGATCCTGTACAGTATAACTCATAGCACAGCCACTTAATCCTTTCTCTTCTAGACTGGATGGCAACTTTAAATATTGAAGCTGCATAGTGAGCTCTTCGAAGAGAAGACCA